TCACGAATACTGACATCAGCAATTCGTGGTTTCTGTAAGACAATGACCATCCCGCTAAGCTCTTCACCCTTGAAGAATGTCAAGTCAGGAATGCCTTCATTTATGACACTCATATCTCGTCTATCCTGTCGCAGAGCTGGAACCCGCTTCAATTCACGGGGTATTGACGATGATGGGCATGTGGCAAACTTTGTTGAAACTGAAACCACTTTCTGGAGTCCAGCGGGAACAATGTTCTCTTATGCTCAAGTGCGCGGATCAGTACCTGTGTTTTGGGAGCAAGCAGCCGATCTCATTCCAGGTCGACAGAAGATCACAGTCACCAGATCCCCCGACGGAACACAACCTGCCTTCAACAAACACTTTGAGGAGCTTGAGCAATCGTACGGAGCTGTCCATGTCATCAATCTTCTTAGTGAGACAAAGCCTGGCGAGGTTGAGCTCAGTACACTCTACCACAATGGTATCAAACACTGTCCATTAAGTCGCGCTGGACCAGACGGATCTTCGGACCATGCTCTCTTGCGAGAAACCAATTACGATTTCCACGCAGAAACAAAGGGGCCGGCGGGATATGAGGCTGCTCGAGATATCCGCCGCTATATCGAGGACTCTACCGACGGTTTTGCATACTTTCTCGCGGAGGAGACAAGTGAGCCGAGATACGACCATGATGGTTCTGGACAGGCTCGTATGGTGGTTGTACTTCAGCAAGAGGGCGTATTCCGAACCAATTGTCTAGACTGTCTTGATCGAACTAATCTCGTGCAAACGATGATCTCACAGATGGCAGTTGAGGCTTTCCTTGGGCACCGGGGTGAATTTGCTGCCTCTGACTTCTGGATGAGACATTCCAGTCTTTGGGCAGACAATGGCGACTCTTTATCCAAGACATACGCTGGGACAGGCGCGCTCAAGTCATCCTTTACACGTCATGGCAAGATGTCTCTTGCAGGAGCTGTGGCTGACGTACGAAAGTCTGTCCAGCGTATTTATCACAACAACTTCCTCGATCCCTCTCGTCAAATCACTATTGACATGCTTTTGGGCCGTCTCGTTGGGCAGGCACCGGTCCTTCTATTCGATCCCATCAGCGATTTCGTGTCAACAGAACTGGCTAAAAGAAGTAGCGAGTTCACGTCATACAATAGCATCACCATATGGGTTGGCACGTTCAATCTCAATGGCCGAACCGAAGGCGTTAATGATGACCTTGGTCCTTGGTTATTCCCGGAGACCCTGGGAGATGCCCAGCCGGACATCTACGTGGTTGGTTTCCAGGAAATTGTAGAACTCAGTCCGCAGCAGATCATGAACAGCGACCCATCACGGAAGAACCTATGGGAGCAGGCCGTGAAGCGCAATCTTAACGATCGACAAAAGCGATTGGGAGGCGAGAGGTATGTGTTGCTACGGAGCGGGCAGCTGGTTGGAGCAGCACTCTGCATTTTTGTAAAGACGCCCAGTCTGGCCAACATTAAGAACGTGGAAGGTAGCGTGAAAAAGACTGGCATGTCTGGCATGGCTGGAAACAAGGGCGCAGTGGCGATCCGATTCGACTATGCCAACACTCATATCTGTTTTGTCACGGCACATCTGGCTGCTGGCTTTTCAAACTACGATGAACGCAACCGCGATTATGCAACAATCCATCACGGGTTACGCTTTCAGCGAAATCGTGGAATCGATGATCATGGTAAGTGCTCTTGGTACTGTGTCTGCTGAAGCCCCATATACTTACGAGAACAGACGCCGTTATCTGGTTAGGCGACTTCAACTATCGCATTGGCCTTAACTTGGAAACTGCGCGCGCACTCGTGAAGAGGCGTGATTTTGAGACGCTATACGAGAACGATCAGCTCAATCTCCAGATGGTAGCTGGATTATCGTTCCCCTTTTATTCTGAAGCTCGCATCACGTTCCCTCCGACGTACAAGTTTGACATAGGAACCGATGACTATGATACGTCGTAAGTGCACTTTCATGTATCGGTGCTTCTATTCACGGATTCTGACGGGTCTACAGTGAGAAAGCTCGCATTCCTGCGTGGACAGATCGTATTCTCAGGAAGGGTTCCAACCTCAGACAGATCTTGTATAACTCGGCACCTCTCAAGTTCTCAGATCACCGACCTGTCCACGCTGCCTTTGAGTGCAGGGTGAGCATCGTGGATGAGCAGCTGCGAGAAAAGATCAGTAAGGAGTTATATCAACGTCGAAAAGTCGAGGTCGGAGACGCAACAGCTCATCTTGGCACTGGCGAGGACAGCGATGATGAAGATCTCATTGGCTATGATTCTATTGAGCCCGGGCTTCCTCCTGCAAGTTCAGATCGCCAGAAGTGGTGGCTAGACAACAAGCAGCCCGCTCGTGCCGCGGTACCTGTGCCCAAACCCAGGAATGGGCAAGCCGTGGGACTGAATCCCAATCGTCCTTCAAATCCTTTTGGCCTCACGGAAGAGCCGGACTGGATCTCTATCCCAAGATCGTCTTCGAAGGCATCCTTGTCTAGCATGTCAAGTTCGCCATTTGAGAAGGTCAGCTTGCCTAACGTCATGGCATCAGGGTCGAGTATTCAACCTCGAAAACTACCACCCCCATATGATCCATCAGCATTGCCAGCTAAGGTCGGGCGCATGAATCTTCTAGATGATCATGCTCCTATAGGCCTTGCTGAGACGCCACCTCCGCCACCACCTCCGCGACGAGGAACATCAGGAGTAGCGGCAATGGGACAGACACCACCGAGCAACGGGTTTGGTCTTAATAGAGTGCAGACTCAACCGCTGCCACCGCCTCTTCGGCCGACATCAGCAGCTTCCCACGCTTCCCAGTTCTCGCAGAACAGCAAGGCCGGGAAACCTGCGCCGCCAGTAGCAAAGAAGCCTGCACATTTGACCACAACATCGCCAAGTTCAAGTCCAGCATTGAGCCAGGGCGCCATTGATGACGACTTTCGGCCACAACTGCCAACAAGAGCTAATACCGGAGGTCTTACAGGAAGTCCTCACTCACAGGGCATCGGGGCCGCCGCACGGAAGCCCGTGGCACCTCCGAGGCCTGGTATGAACGGGACTGGTGCAAAACCGTCTAGCTCAATCGGAGCGGTAGGACTGCCCGGTATGACGGGTGGAGTGCCATCCCGCCGGGCAGCGCCGCCTGTACAGCCCAAGCCGCATTTGCCGCAACAGAACCAAAACCAGCATCAACGGCAAGGGTCTACAGATCTATTGGGATCTCTAGGTGAAGGTCAAGAAGTAGGTGGATGGGAAACGTTGAAGCCGAGCACAAGAGCATAGGAAAAGTGAGTTGTTTTGCGGGTATAAATTAGTCTAGTACTTGGATGCCAGGCGTTTGGAAGCGTATTGATGGGCTTGAATCACTTGGGGGATGTGTGTCTTGGGGCTTGGCTTGGGTTATGACTATGGTTATGGCTTTAGTATAAAAGTAAAAAGTAAAAAGTACAAGCAGGGCTTGGTTATCATCTAAGATATTCACCGGCTGATGTTGTTGTCTCTGATGGTGTTTATGTTTCACAGCATGTGAGCCAACAACTGAATCATGTGTCACCCTATTTGTCTAACCACGAGTCGGTCAAGAAAAGCCCCTAGGATCGGAGTAGCGGCATGTTTCGGCGGTGATTCTTATAGATCGCTATCGCCAAGACGCACCTAATTAAATCGTGCCTCTCGTCGGGTGATGCATTACTGTGGCGGCCACTTGGATCAGAGCTGAGACTGCAGTTGTAAAATTGCTCCTACCCTGGAGGGGCAAGGTGGAGGGATTTATTGTGTCCAGGCCTCATGACCAAGCCCCACAGATGGTGACCTCCAATGAAATAATTCTCGGTATCTGTCGTGAAGGTGGTGATCTGATTGTTTTGTCAGAAATACTCTGCTGACTCTTTGGTCTTAACGTTAGCTGGTATTGAGTTCGGCACGAACCTTTGGTCCCGTCACCGACACTTTTTATACCGTATCCACAGTTCAGTTCTGTTGAGATGGATGACCTGAACTTACAGTATGTGCAGTACCTTCGCATCACTGAGGCTGCAGTGCTCCATGGCTGCCGTAGGTTACCGTTCACGCTGCACTCTCTCTTCCCTGTTGTGGGCACGAGACCTTGGTTGACCTTGGACGATCTAGACCAATGCTGATCATTTTATCAATCATATCACACCCTTGTATTTGACCTTGGACCTTGCACAAACCACTCTCTTCCTTCGTCTCTTCCTCTCCCCTCTCTCCACCTCTGATACACTCCTATACTCGTCCTGGGATACCCTCAATTGCAATCTCAATCCTCGATACGTGAAAGAAGACCTCCAATACCTATTGTACCCATTTACTCTAATTCACTTGGCCCGCGCTCAGAAACCCGCCCCCCCCCCCCCATCGAAGCCAAAGAGATCGTCCCCGGTCCGTGATTCCCTTAGCTCCAATCACCTTTGAACCGAACCTACCTTGCTTGACCTCGCCTTGCCTCTTTTATTTCTAAACCTTGATCGCAATTTCTCCTTTTCCCTCGCACAGAGAATCTTCACTACTCTTTTGCTTTTTCTTTCTTGATCTTTTGGGATTATCATCACAGATCGTCACAATTAAGCCTCATCTGATCTTGTGTTCGAGTCTTGTCTTCGAGATAACCCCCCAGATCCAGTACGCTCAAGCCCTTTGATAGTACGATTTCGTACAATCTGCACGAGTCATTGGCGTACACGGATGAAATCGCTGGACGACGCAAAACAAAGATTGTTAATGAGCAACTGATTTTTTGACGTTCTCATCATCCGCTTCTCACCATCACGAACGACAACCCATTGATGGCAAGCTTCACAATTCCGACTGGCCTCGGACTAATATCACACGATACTCATTGAGCCTCATAATCCAACATCTCCTTACGGATCCATTACCAGCCGCCAACTTTTACGACAATCACCCGAAATTAATTGCTCCATCAAGTCACACCTCATCAGCTTCAACAACAACAGAACCAGCCATGGCCGATAATTCAGATCATCGAATCAAGATCAATCCCCTCATGCCTCCTGCAAAGCAAGAGCGCATTCACATCTGGCGCACCGAAGTCGCTTCAGCCCTCCACCTCCCCACGGCCCCGTCCCTATCATCATCACTATCGTCTTCATCCGCCGCCACTCCAGATCCCGACCCAGATACTTCGTTTGCTACGCCTCCATCACCTGCTGGTTCCAGGCCACGAAGCTTGTGGAAGCGCATCAGTTGGCGCTTTGGACCCAAGAGACGCACTGCTGTTAATATGGCCGCTGCTGCCGCCGAGCTTCCTCCTGATGGCCGTACGGCTATGTACCGCGGACTTGAGAACAGGGTGGTTAGGGGAGACGACGCGAGGGATGAAGAAGGCGGCATTCTTGAGAAGGACAGCGAAGAAGGAAATGGCTTAAAGGAGAAGCAAGAGAGGTTGGCTCGGGCAGCCAGATTACTCAACCGTCGCACCGAGGAACGGTGACAGCGTCGCTAATGGACCGACGCATCACCAGTCGCTACTAAGGAATGCGTCTGTCCCGTTTGCTTACGAAAGGCCCGGAGCCAGCAATACTTCTTAATAGGCAGCCGGGGCCATGTCGACATGTGTCATGATATAGCATTTATTCTTCATTAATCAATGTCCTCAACAGACAGTTCCACGTACCTAGACTACCATGCACGTGTAAACCAGTCTTTCTAATCTTGGGTACGAGACTATCACATTCGACGCTTGTTCCACCCGAAATGTCAACATATGCAAACGTCGGATAACCCCATAGCAGATGGTTCGCGAACGGAAAGACGGAACACAAGCGCTGGGAAATGCAACATTTCAACATCAGGAAAATGTCAGCAGAGAACAAATGTCACCAGTACAGAACTCTGAGAGGCTTCAGATTGGGAAAGCCAAGGGGCAGCTTATACCGCCACTTTTCTCGGTACCCGTGAACATGAATGTAGAGGGGTTGATTTTTGGGGATAAGTCTTTGTTTAGAAACAACAGCAAACAATTCTTCTCTCCATTGCCTCTCTTCAGGGGGGGTTACGTTTGAGAACGAACCAATAGACATGAACAGAAAACATAAAGACATAACACAACGGGGAAAAAGCGTTAACAAGAGAAAGCCTTCTTCGTGACGATCCATCAAGATGGGCTAAGCCCTGTCCACGTTCTTAATGACCAACAAGACGGGGAGAGAGCTACACAAATGCCAGGTGCGGAAGGTAGGCCAAAGGTAAAATGTGTGAAAAGGGGGGGAAAACTTTGCGATTTATCTGCCAGGTAGAAAAGAGAGAAAAAAAGACAGATAGCCGTCATCATCAAGTGTTGGCGGATCGATTTTTTCCTTCCTTCTTCCTTTCTTACTAGTCCGACGGACGGACAAGACGAAAGATTCCACGCCATACACTCTTCCTTGCCAGAAACCAGACCCTTTGTGAATCCTCCCTCTCCATCGCCATGGGAAAAAAGCAACGCACCGCGCAAAAAGAAGAAGCCTCGTACTATCATCCAGCCCGCCCAAGACAGGCCCAGCTATCCGTGTGTCCGGGGGCAGACAAGTGTAACCGGGGCAAGAATACGTCTCGGTTCCTCTATGCCGAGACGCATGTGGTATCGAGGGGGATTATTGACAGATTTAGGAGGCAGCAGCAGGCGCAGGCTCCTCAGCAGGGGCGGCGGCAGGCTCAGCGGGCTTGGCAGCCTCGCCCTCCTCCTTCTTGGGAGCATCGGCAGCACCAGCGGCCTCGCCCTCAGCACTGTCGCTAGAAGTCCAGAGGGTGAGGTTGTCGCGGAGGAGCTGCATGATCAGGGTGCTGTCGCGGTAAGACTCCTCAGAGAGGGAGTCGAGCTCGGCAATAGCATCGTCGAAGGCCTGCTTCGCGAGGTGGCAAGCACGGTCGGGGGAGTTCAAGATCTCGTAGTAGAAGACGGAGAAGTTGAGAGCGAGACCCAGACGGATGGGGTGAGTGGGAGTGAGCTCAGTCTGGGCGACATCGGTAGCGCTCTGTGGTTGGGCAAAACTTGTCAGCGAGGGGCACCAGCGGCCCGGATCTTGCGGCATGTGACGGTGGTGGGGGGTAGTTGGGTTTTAATTTAGCCTTACCTTATAAGCATCGTGGGCAGCGGTAGCAGCACCCTTGCGCTTCTCACCAGAGGCGAATTCAGCGAGGTAACGGTGGTAGTCACCCTTCCTATTTATCAGAAAGAAACTCGGTCAGCTTCTCGATAATTAAATAAAAATGGAGTGCATTGCTTTTTTCGGCGGAAAAAGCAGGCATGGAGCGAGATGGGTGTGGCGCTGCATGAGCGAGCACAAAAGGGCGGAAAGACGAGGGGCCTCAGGCTAGAGGCGGGGAAGATAAAAACGCACATCTTGTGGTAAAAGACCTTGGACTCGCCGGTGGCGGCGTTGGGGATGAGGAAGTCGTCGAGGACATCAAGGACATCCTGGCAGACCTTCTCGAGCTCGGTCTCGATCTTGTTGCGGTAGTCCTTGATGGTGGAGACGTGCTTGTCGGAGCCCTTAGATTCCTCCTTCTGCTCGATCGAGGAGATGATGCGCCACGAGGCACGTCGGGTGCCGACAACGTTCTTGTAGGCGACGCTGAGGAGGTTACGCTCGTCAACGGTAAGCTCTCCGCCCAGCTTAGCCACCTCCTTCATGTAGGTGACCATCTCATCGTAGCGCTCGGCCTGCTCGCAGAGGCGGGCCAGGAAGGTCTTGCTATAGTGAGGTAACACGTACGATGTCAGCGATACGACGTCCTTCGAAGGGGTTCTGATTCCTGAACGAGCTGTACGAGCCAAGGCGTTGGCAGGGCGCCGATAGCGTCGGAAGTGAGCCTGGAGGGGATGATATAGACAAACCTTTCACGCTATCACACCATAAGAGTCAGCATCAAGCATCTTGATTAGGGAGATAGGGATAAGGAGATGAGCAGGGAGGGGGGGATCGAGTAGCACCGCCTGGAGGTAAGGTGAGAGAACCTCTAGAGAATCGCGAGCTACAGAACCGAAAGTTCAGGGCCATGCACGAATCGTGAATTTCGAGGAGGGACCTCATGGTGTTGTCACCGTTTGTCCATGTTGGGCTTCGATTGAGGGGTTGTGCGGGCTTCGGCGGGAGAGGAGGCCAAGAGGGAAAAAGGGCATAGCATCTCTAGAGAAGAATAGAGAAACCAGCAGGGAGAATACATACCTCGGTGGCCATTTTGGAAGATATTGGGTATTGTTTGATAAGAAAAAAGGAAGTGGAAGTAGTCGTGACAGGGAGAAGAGAGGTTGAGTGAGAGATTGAATTTTTGAGGTTGAGAGTTGGGGGGCGCGTAGAGAGAGGGATGAACAGAGGTAAGGTAAGGTAGAGAGAGACCAGTGACTGGATTGGACTGTAGGCGGGTCAGGCGTTGGGTGAGCAGGTACGTATTTTGCGCATTGAATTGGATTTTCAGCGCCCTGTACTAATGGGAGCCAGCCGGGCAGGCAGCGGGCAGCCCCCCAGTGCGGGCAGCTCTCCCCATCGCTTCTAGGGGGTATCGCCTAAGGAACAGCCTGGCCCGCCCAATCCCAAGGTCGCCTTGGGCCCAGGCTGTTGGCCTTTGGCCTCTTGACTCCCACTTCTTGATAACTGTTAACCCGCATATCTACATTAGTGCACCACAACCCAGTCACCGCTCTAATAATGAATGGATCTTTTCAAGACAACCGACAGTGCCATTCACTGGAGAGAAAGGAGAAAATAGGGGAGCCGATATGATCTCCCCGTTTAGCGGAACATGTCCCCGTTGAAAAGTCTAGACGGAACAGAGTGCGCCATAGCTGCCCGCCTCATCTAAATTGCAGTGCATCCAATACCTAGAAGCAAACTGAGAGTGCCCTGGGCTGGGCGAAGTGTCAAAATGCTGTGGAGCGTGTGTGCTAGAAACTCAAGGAACCTGGGCTTGTGCTGGCTGACCCCAGGCTGCCATGCCAGATGTAAACAATGCACAGATAGCCACGTGAGCGTTAAAAAAAAAAAGGTGACGACAGAGATGAGCCCCCTTCCATTGACTTCACCCCTCTTCCACCAAACGAAACAGTTCCGGCCTTTGTTTGATGCTTGGTGCTTGTTAGCCCTGGCATTTGACGCCAATCTCTCTCTCCTCCAGTTCATTTACGCCAGTGCAGGCCCCTTTACTTTTGATTCACAGGGGATAGTGCTGATATGCACGTGCTAATGTCTCCTTTGCGGCAAGCTGTTTTCCCTCACAGAAATCACACAATGCTTGTTGTCTCTGCATCATAATAGAATCAGCCTCATTGGGGCTGATGAGACGACTTCTATTGGACCCCTGTCCTGGTTATCTCCAGGCCCGCCACAGACGGCAGCATTCATCTCACCACGAATCATGGCTGAGAATCTGAGATCCGAGAGGCTTTGGACCAGTGGTAATCTTTTAATGTCTGCCTCCTACCACTACCGCCAGAAAGCACATGAGAGTCTACCATTCATACACCTCCATAGGACTCTCACAGAGCTTACCGGCACACGACACTTGCCTTTGAACCATTATAGGCCGCGAGAGCTTTGCACGAGATGAACTCATTTCCTGGGATCGTCCGTTGTATTAACCGCCCACTCCAGCGTCTAAGAGCTCATCAAATCCAACCACTCGACACAGTCTGGACTTTGTGACCCTGGTCCTGACTCTGACACGCCTGTTGCGATATATGTATCAAACCAAGGTCAAAACCACTATCTGAAACCTGAATCAAGCTTCCTTACACAACCACAGCGCTCACACTCATGACCATCAAGAAACAGAGCCCTATCTATGGAAGTCTTCAGGATTATTGGATACTCTTTGCTTGCCTGGCTGGGCTGCATCAAATCTCTAGATCTGCCCATCTCGCTTTGGACGGGTCAAATCCCTGCTTTGTGACTGACACTGGACATTCTGATTCCGCTTGCTTGCAACCCCTCCAATACCCTTCCATGTCATATCGCACGCCTCGACATATCCATCCTTGACCAGAAATCCACGAACCTGGATGCGGGAACTGTTTAGCTGCTTAGAGTTTGATGATATCCTGGCTCGTTTCAAGAAATCTCAACATCTGAGCGCACTGTAGCTGTCAAGTTCAACTCACTTGTTCGTAACCTGCCTTGGCTGTCTTCAATGGACCCCTTCTTTCTGCAATCTGGGGCTAGATAGTTGCTCTGTCGCTCATCAAACCCTTGTTAAACTGAACGATTTCTCTTCTGACCCCACGGACCCATCTGCAATCATCCGAAGCCCACGTCCCACCAGGGCCGTGGAAACCGGTTTTGCCTCATACAGTACAGACAGCAGAAATGGGTTGTTCTCCTTTCTTATCTCTTTCTTGTTATGGCGGGATTTCAAGACGATGATCTGTCTACTATAGAAACATGTTGACCAGGCTGGATAAGTCTGAGTTCCAGTAACCCTTCCCCAGGGTGACTTGTTTCTTCAGGGACCTCTGTTAGCCCAAGACCCTTCTTTATCACTGACATGGACTTCAAATAATCCTGGTTCGGCTTGATTTGGTGGAGCTTTCCGCTCGGTCTAGCCCGTAGTCTGCGGGACTGGCTGTGCCATAAGTTGGCAACCAAAAAAACTTAGGATTTTGAACAACACGTTAAATGTACTGTTTATTAGTACAGAGTAGAAACATGACCTCTTTTGTCTACTGATGATAGTTCTTTGGATGTGAGTCATTGGGCTTTACCCACTCACCGCTCCATTGGATTTGTTAACATTTGACGAATGACGTGACAGACTTGATTACAAACACGTTGATCCTCCAGCCTTTCACATGTATTATTGTTCATTAAGCTCATATGTATGAGGTATCTTGAAACAGGCTTTTCCGTGTCACAGACGCCTGCTAACTCTAACACAATAAGTAAAAACTCATAGCTCCTCCGTTTCCGGTCTTTGATATCGTCCTCTGCCCCAATCCGCAGGGTCTCCTCCTGGTACACAAAGGCCCAGTCTCCAGAAATAGTCCCGATGAGCAAACAGCAGTTGCCATAGTTTGAATCTGGAAGGGAATCCATTCAACTCTGCCAATTTGTCCGAAGTCGTTAGAAGGCCTTGGGCATTGAACAAGCGGCGTATCGTCATCCATAACGAGTCGTCTGCCCCGGATATGCACTTCGGATCATTGTCGCCGATACACATGTAAATATCGGCCTCAGAAGGGCTGAGCTCCTGTTTAGCGATGTATATCTCACCTGCGTGTGACTTGTAGCCCCATTCACCCAGGGGAAGAAGGGGCACGGGGTCTTCTTTGTGAGTAACCCGCCTGTATTGTCGCCCTTCGAGATTATCTTGGCCATCTAGGTGAAAGACTTCGTCGACGAAGCGAGCGAGCCCTTCATTCCCAACACGGGGCTCGCCAAAAGTCGTGACTATGACATCCTGCCAGCCTAACGATACCTTGAGCTCCAGTGCAGCGAGGCAAGCAACGGAACCTCCTAGGCTATGGCCTACAAGCTGAACAGGATAGGAAGGATATTGGAGTCTTAGCTGTCTCAATTGTGGAAGTACGAGGCGTCGAGCATTCTTCCAGGATTGGAGGAACCCCATGTGCACCGTACAATTTGTACATTGATGCTCCGGTTCGTCAGGAGGTTCTCCTCCGCCGTGGTCAGGAGATGGGTACGGCACATACTCTTGCGGGACAGTACTCAGATCGACGATCGTATTGGCGATGCTGTAGGTACCGCGGAAGGCCACCACGATAGCTGGCTCACCGGCCATGTAAGCGTCATTGTCCCCGCGTTGTCTCACACCGTGATCGACAGCGATATAGCCGCAACTGTCACTGAGTAAAGGGCCAGTATTCCACGTATTGATAAGATCGAGGCTGGGAAAGTCGCTACAGCGTGATACACAGTCGAAGGGTTTCCTGACTCCTGTGGTGCCAATACAATAGGCGATGTCGACGAGCCGTGACAGACGTTCCAGTGTTGCAAATAAGGTCACTGAGATGCCATAGGGCTCAGGATCAGGACTATTGTTGTTGTGCCTGACTATTGATAATGGGTTGCTAAGAGCGAGGCATGAGGCGATGAGAAGCAGCTGAAGAGTTAGTGTCCTCATCGCGTTGACAGGTCTGAGTCGCATGATGTAACGTAATGATGTATGCTGATAATTGTTAAGTCTGAAGCGTTGAAAACGCGTCCATAAATGCGTCAATCGTTTTCAATATCGGAAAAGGCCCCCCAATCCTCGGTCTAACTTGTGTTATAGAATCAACTTCTAGTAACGACTCAGAAGTTATCCGAATCGAGGAAGGACGAGATAAGGAAAAAGAAACAATGCATCATTAAGAAATTGTTGAGAACTGCTCGACTTTAGCTTCAAGACACGAAATGACGATGGGACTTGAAATAGCAGGTAGATCAAGTGAAGAGGTCAAGATCAGGGTTGACAGGTCTCGTGAGTAACACACCTCAAACTGTTGAGGTCATACGGCGCATTTACTAGAACCAGCGGTACCTGTTTAGGCCACCAAATGACCAATAAAAAAGAAGTATCACTTGTTCTCTCTGTTTAAAGCTGAATGAGACTCTGTGAGTGGCCAACGATACGACACTACCCCGGATTGTTGGCCCACTTTACATTCTTTCACAGTGGAGGTGGAAGTCGGCTTTTGTTCCTGAGTAAACCACCTTAAAAATTCATGAACAAAGTGCATTGCTCAGAGCGAGATTTCTGTCTGATTATCTATTCAGTTCCGGTACTAATAGGACGTTGTCGTCGTCTTTTCCTCATCTCATTACCAAGCTCAAACGTCCAGTTTTGTTTTGTATAAGTGATGAAGTAGCACACCTGACTACCAGGCAGGATCCTGCACGACTCAAGATCACAAGATCTTATTTATCATACAGACAAAATATCTTAGGAAGGAGGAGCCTCTCTCACGGGTTGGAGACTAGTGAAAGCCGACTTCTGGTCTGTCGAGTTGCTTGAGCAGCTGCCAGTCCTGGCACACTTGACGTTGAGAATAATGCTACCGCTGGCTTCATATGGTACAGATCTATCGGGGTCACTGTCAATACATGTTATTTCAAGACTAGGGAGTCAAGACTTACCCGTCCTGTTGTTGACAAACCTTCTCCATCATCCACAGCTTCTTGGTATCATCAGTCCAGATGAACTCCACCGCATTGTTGTCACACGCAAAACGATCCCTGCCTCCCAAGCCCGTGATGGCCTTTGAAGAAGCGTTCTTGTGGCAAGGAGTTGTCAATTTGGTGTCTTCGTCGAAGAATACAAAGTCAAAGCCACTGAGCGTCTTGCCGCTGTCCTTAGACTCTGCCTTGAAGTTGCGAATGTGGTAGGTATCGGGGAGTGTGCAGCCATTATCTTCAGAACTGGTCTCGAGAAGAGAAAGACTCTGGGGAACTGCGTAGAGGTGTGCGGCCCAAGTAGCGGGCAAAGCAGAAAGAAACAAAAGTCCGAATTGCATTATGAGAGTATTCGAGATACGTAGTATATGTGTTCAGTACGAAGTAAGATGTTATATGATCATAAGAGGTATGTTTATTGGTGAAATTTGATGTTGTAAAAGAGCAGATTTTCAACTCGACGAGACATGACTAGCGAGGTAGGTAGTTTATAAGTCCATCAAAACCATATGGAGAAAACGACGTCAGAGCATCAATCGCTCCGAGTGGTCTCTCCTTGCCTTACCGAACACGCGGCCTAGTAACCCATTGAATCGGGCCTGCTCTAGATTCCAGTGCCGTCCTACAATGCGATCCAATTCCACTCGCAGATCCTTCTGCATCCGCGAGGAAACATGGAGTTGACGGGATCGGAGGCGAGGATCCAACAACCAGGCAGTGCAATTGATTGGATGCCGATCACGTTTCATGTTTGCTGGGTCGGAGCCTCGGACGTTTATCGTGGAGAATCCATGGCCAACTCATTGTTTACAGTAGAGCCTCTAACCAAGCGTCTAACCGTCAAGTTATTCTTAGTTACGGATGGCCAACAGGGCTGTTGCTGTTGACAAGTGATACAAGAATAGAAACGTGATCTCGCCATACAAAACCGTTGGACTGAGAAGCGATAACTTTCCGAGTTCTGCTGGCTACATTTTGCGTGTTTCGATTTGACACAAGGAAGATTGGAGGATGCTCCCTTGAAGACTCGGTTGTCGATCGTAATGCACAAAGAATCATCGTACCTTATTTGACCTCCTTTGTGGGTTGGAGGCATCCAAGGTCACACTGCCCCTGGATGAAGATGGTTTGTTGCTGGTTAAAGCCGAGTAAACATTCATGCTGATTCTCGACTATCGTTGCACTATGGGATTGTATGGCAAAAACTTTCCGTGATGTTGATATTGGACTTCAAGATATGATGCCATACCCACTCAATTTGAGCAGGATCAAGATCATCATACTTTCAGAGAGTCAAGAATCATGTTTTCATGGTCAGAGTTGACGATTCATGATATCAAGTGTGGTTATTCATTTGTAGATATCGCCTCTTCTGAGCTCTGATGAGCCGCCTCACGCATCAGATCCACCCGCTGTCAAGCTACTGATGTGGGGCCTTCGCACAAATTTGCAAAACTCGTTACCCTTCGGCACGTGACCCACAGCTTTGGCAAATTTTGGCACGCGGACTAAGGTAACTAAGATCCCCTCGTTTTTTCTGATCCTGTTGGAAATATTCTCGTCACCTCACGATCCAACTAACCCATCCAGCAACAATGGCCGCTGAAACCGCTCGATCTGGCCTGGCCGTCGGCCTCAACAAGGGTCACGTACGTCTTTCTGTCGCAGTCTCACCTCGTGGAGGATCTCTGCTTTGTCTTCGCCTTCGCGACGGATGAGGGCTCGACAATCACCCAACTAGCAGACGATGGACGCTGACATTTGTCGCCGATATTACAGAAAACCACCCCCCGTGTCGTCAAGCCCCGTGTTTCCCGAACCAAGGGTCACCTGAGCAAGCGCACCGCTTTCGTCCGTGAGGTCGTCAAGGAGGTTGCTGGGTAAGTCAATATTTTCTTGGGGAACGGAGGTTGGATTGGGAGACGATGGATGGGGGATATTGGGTATTTGCGCCTCATGGCCAAGGTCTCATCACCGACATTGATCCTATTCATTGGAGGAGCCCTCAAATATGTGCTCGAACTTTGGCTAACCACCATTCTTAACAGCCTTGCCCCCTACGAGCGCCGAGTCATTGAGTTGCTCCGCAACTCCAAGGACAAGCGTGCCCGTAAGCTCGCCAAGAAGAGAGTACGTCGAACCGAACACCGAAATCACCCCACGATATAAGTACTAACTTGCATAACAGCTCGGTACCTTCGGCCGTGCCAAGGCCAAGGTCGACGAGCTCCAGCGCGTCATCGCTGAGGCCCGCCGTACTGGTCACTAAATCAACCCGACTTGATCTGATTTTTGGGAATCTGGCACCGAATGGGGTTCGCATGGATTGGCGTGGTCACGATTTGATCAATTAAAAAAAAATTAACGGCTTGGACGCTCCGTGGCAGGGATTTAGCTGCGGCTCACCGGAATACCAACACTTTCAAGAGACTTATGGCGTAATGATCAAGCCATGTTCCCATCTATCTTTCGTGACGAATGACGCTCCCCTTTTTTCGAACTGTGATCCGTTGAATGCAATATGTATTCATAACCTATTGATTTCGCCGTTTTGCGCTATGAAGAAACCACCTTAAACCAACGCCATCAATGATCGTTAATGCAAACCCCGTCACGTTTCTAAACTGCCACTATTGTCTATTTCTTGCCCAGCTTGAGCCATTTGGGTATCTTCTTGCCAGTCTTCTCTCCTGAGCCCTCACCCTTCTCTGCTTGTGCTGGCCGAGCAACAGGTACTTCCTCGTCTTTATCATTCGAAGCGATGAGCTCAGGCACCTTGACCTGTTGGCCCTTTTGAGCAATGTTGGCCTTGAGGAATGGCTCCTTTCGTACGGCTAATGGTACAGTATCATCCCAGACCAGGTTAATCAAGGTACGTCCAGACAGTTTATATGCCTTGATCAATCCGTTGCTGGGGCTAGGATCGTCCTTGATCACAACCTTGGTCCCGGGTAGGACAAGATGGAAAGGTTGGTTGTTATGGGCCATGACGTGCCGAACAGCATCGTAGAGGAACTGACCACTGTGAGTTGGGCTTACTTCCCAGTCGCTGCTTGTGTTATCCGGAAATCGAACTTTGACGAGGATGGACTTGATTGCGTTGATTCTTGCGGCCTCTGCAGCAGCCTTCTCTTCTAATTCGCGGTCTGATAGCAGACGCTTGTTCCTCGAATCCCCCTGAAGCCGAGCCTGATGAAGTTGCGCATGAGCGATTGTAGGGGCAAAGTCAGCATCGGTAGCGGGAGCCAGGGCTGCAGCAGGTGTTGACCCTGAGGGAGCGAGGAAAACGTTGACAGGTGCCAGAGGATCCCCCGGCTGAGAAGAGTCGATATCCATGCTGTCTGCATTAGCAGCCTTGGGCTCTGCTTCTTGTTGAATGAGGGCTGCATTATGTGTTTGTTCTGCTTGATTATTCGTCATCTGTGAGTCCTCTGTCTCCTTTTGCGCTTGCTCTTCTGGTTCCTCTGCCCCTTGCTCTGTTGCAAGCTCTGCCTTTGTAGCTGGCGCTTCTGGCTTCTGGCCTTCATCTTCGGTATCTTTGAAAAACTGGCCAATTTCTGTCATTGCATCGTACAGTGTCTTGTCTGTCTTTCGGTAGTCCAATCTAATCAGGACACTCCCTGAGTTGTATCCTAGTTGCGACAGTGTCTTCTGGAAATCGGCGAAGGATGAAAGCTCTCGTCCCATAATGTTGAGAACAGGTGTTTCGTAGTAAAGCTGTCCGCTACCACTCCCCGTATCACCGCTCATTTGCGCGATCCCGCGGCCAGTGATATTGATATTTCTTCCGTTGCTGGCCTCTCCGCTCTCGAACTGACGTAGAACCTTCCATATGGTGAGATCGCTAGGGAACTTCTGAATCAACCGGCCGCCGGGTATTTCACGACCGTCGGGAGGAGGAACTTGGAGGGCGACTTGGATAGCGGAAGGTGTTTTCGACTTTTGGACAAGTTCAAGCTTTGCGCCTGGTGTAAGGCCAGAAGTTCGGAAGGGGACAGATAAATCGATTGTTTTTTGTCGGTGTCTATAAGTCAATCTTGTTAACTATTGGTTCAACAGGAGAGCCTAACTCGAGCACCTGATACTTACTTGACAAGATACTTATCACTGGAAAGGTTGAGTCTTCTACAAGCTTCCTCCAACACATCAATAAGGTAGGTTCCAGGGTTGACTTTGATAGTAGCTCGCCGTAGGTCGGTGGCTATCACCACGACGTTGGTCGCCATTCTTCAGAAGGTGTAGGTATCAAGAAGATAAGGTGTGGGATTGAAGCTGCATCTGTATTAAACTAATATGAATTCGTTAATAAAGGATGATCGCAGGGGACGAATGTTGAGCTCGGTCGGCGGTGATGTAAGCAGACAGTGTGAGTGAGTAGAGTGGCCAACAGCGGGGTTACGTAGAGGGGACCTTAGCTCCCAAGGACAGCTCCAGCAGGCAGCCACGGGTTATGAGCACCTCTTCGAATAACTCTGTGAGCTGCTAGAAGCTTCTGTAATGGAATGAATCTACTTAGGTCCCTTGCCTCAGGTATGCCTAGTGGTGGAACTGGAAGACTCGGCCCCCTTGACAAGGAAATAACTACCATTGAGTCAAGTCTGCTGTTTTATGCAAAATTACCTACTGAATTATCTTAAAACTTCCATTGCCTAGATAAGTAATTCACCTTGAAAGATAGAATTCCAATTGCTCGGCTTTTCAGCCACTTATCCAACTCACTACACCTCCATATGATCATTTGAGATACGCAGAAGGTTCTGTGAATCAGAGCCTGTAATGGCCGTTTCGTAGTTATCATTCCTTTCTTCTCTAAATGCGATCTCAAACTCTCTTGTTGCTACCTAGGCGAGCCAGTAAATATTCGCTTATGTAATTCAAGTAATTGAGCCCCAGCCGCCACAACTCGTAGGCTGCTCTAACAGACGTGGACCTGCCTCTCTACCCGGCCGCGCCAGACCGTGTTTGCCTTGCAGCCCGCCGGTACGTACCACGGACCTTAGCAGCAACCTCATTGCACTGCACCTTCTGTAGCTCCAGCCCAGTGACCGGAGCTTCAACTGTCCAACTCGCACTCCATCCACTCCACGCCAACTGCTCTACTACAACCCCACGACGCGACGATACGATACGAATTAGCGACTGCCAAACTTGCGGCTTCACATAACGAATCACCGCTTTCCTTGTCCCCGGCTTCCTCTCGATAAGACGGCTGCTGGTTGACGTCGATTGCCCGACCTCGCATTCTACCTATCTACCTTCAAGAAGTCATCATGGTAGGCTAACCTCCAGCTAGCCAATCTCTTTTTCACACAAAGCTAATCATATAACTCAACTAATAGTCGTCTCCTTTCTCGATAAGTTCGTCTCGGACGCCTGTCATCATACCAGTGTCCATCCATAGCTAACCTCCCTCCTCTTACAGACGGCGGCGCCTGTGTCGCCATGGTCGGAAAGGACTGTGTCGCCATCGCATGCGATCTTCGCCTCGGTCTCCAGGCTCTTACTGTATCCAACAACTTCCCCAAGATCTTCCAGTACGGCGACGTCTTCCTAGGTCTCACTGGCCTGGCTACCGACGTCAACACCGTGAGCGACCTCTTCCGCTACAAGGTCAACATGTACCGCCTGCGTGAGGAGCGCTCCATCGCCCCTCGAACTTTTGCCAACCTCGTTTCCTCATCTCTCTACGAGCGCCGTTTCGGACCTTACTTTGTGTCTCCCGTCGTTGCTGGCCTTGACCCCAAGACTGGCAAGCCTTTTATCTGTGGTTTCGACAGTATTGGCTGTATCGACTTTGCCAAGGACTTCATTGTCTCTGGTACCGCTTCAGAGCAGCTCTTTGGCATGTGCGAGGGTCTCTGGGAGCCTGATCTGGTACGTAAATAACGATAAAGCAGCTATACATCGTCTGAGCTCGGCTGTTGCTCCGCTCAAGAGCGAAATGCTGATGACAATACTTATAGGAACCCGATGCCCTCTTTGAGACCATCTCTCAGTCGTTGCTCAACGCTGTCGACCGTGATGCCCTTTCTGGCTGGGGTGCTCACGTTTACATTATCGAGAAGGACAAGGTTACCAAGCGATTACTAAAGGGACGACAGGACTAGAGCGTCGGCGTAATGGACAAATCTACACGAATAGAGTGGGACAAGGAGTGGTTTATGTATCTTGTATGAATAGATACTCGGCCAATATCAACCGCTGGGTAATGAGAATGCACTTCTTCGTCTTGCTATCAACTCTTCGTGTCACCCAACTTCGATTCTCTATGAGTAAATGACTTCACAGTTTGATTTAACTCTACCAATTGGCCAATATCGTCATTTCCCTGTTTTATGGGGATTGACTCCATTGCGAGACTAAATATTTAGCTCTTTCTACTCGAGCAGGACCGCAAAGGCTTCGCAAGGTGCCAGCCTGGTCTCACCACTGTTCAGATCATCCACTGTTCTTCCAGCAGGGCTGACCAGCACCTCTCGAGCCTTACCAGGCAAAGACCACGCAACTGTATCAGTTGTGAAGTTACATACGATGAGAGCGGTCTCCCCGTTATCAGCCTTTCGTGAGTATGCAAAGACCTTCTCGTTAGACTCGTCTACGAGTTGGAAGTTTCCATACACGAATATGTCGAGGAACTCCTTTCGTCTCTGCAGAACCTTGCGGTAGCAGCCATACACGGAGTTGGGGTCTGAAGTCTGGGATGCAGCGTTGATTTCCTTGTAGTTATCGTTGACTCTCATCCAAGGCTTAGCATCAGCGGTAGTAAAGCCAGCGTTGGGGCTTGCGTCCCATTGCATAGGAGTTCGGGCGTTGTCACGAGACTTCTTCTGATACTCGACCTTGTAGGAGTTTCGGGCCGCCTCATCATCGTTCTTGTGAAGACTATAGGGGATGTCAGTGAGATATGTTTGTCAGCTGAATTCTCTGACTTACTCCCAATGTCGAAGACAGTCAAGGTCCTTGTATTCTTCCAAGTCCCAGTGCTTAGGGACATTGGTCATTCCAATCTCCTGTCCTTGGTAAATGAAAGGGGTACCTGACTGGAAACCCAGGAAGATGGCAATGAGCTTCGCACTAGCCACACGATACTCAGGGTCATCGTGGACAAAGCGACTAACAGCCCGTGGTTGGTCGTGGTTCTCCAAGTAAAGAGCGTTCCAGCCCTCATTATCATACATAAACTTCTGCCACTTGAGGGTGGTAGATTTGAGCTCAGAGAGATTCCAGGATCTAGGTGTGAACTTGCCGCCAATACCATGGTCGAGATCCATTCTATGACTTGATCAGCAACTGGAATAAGTCTTGTGTTGGAAACTTTGACTTACAACTCAAAGTGAAAAATCATGCTTAACTCTCCACGGTCACCACGGACAGCCTTGATCAACTCACGCTCATCGTGCACACAAGGCATCTCACCCACACTGAAAGCATCGTACTCTTGCAGAATAGCACCAATCTCTTTGAGAAACTCGTGACATCGGGGACCGCAAGCATAGAACTCATGACCGCGAAGTACAGTCTTATCAGAGTCGGGGAATGCTTGGTCCTTACTGACAAAGTTGATGACGTCCATGCGGAAACCATCGGCGCCTCTGTCGAGCCAGAAGCGCATGACATCGTGCACTTGTTTTCTGACTGCTGGATTCTCCCAGTTGAGATCTGGCTGTTGCTTGCAGAAGAGGCAAAGATAGTATTCATCTGTGGTCTCGTCGTACTCCCAGGCACTTCCTATAAAGTCGTTAGCTAGGACACTCAAGAACAGAAGCCATAGAGTACTTACCTTGAAAATGAGCATCCCAGTTGTTGGGCGAGTGTCTATTTCCTTCGGAATCGTACTTTGCAGGCTTCCAGATGTACCAATCACGATAAGGGTTGTCCTTGGACTTTCGAGACTCTTTGAACCACTCATGCTGATCACTGGTATGGTTCATGACCAGATCAAGAACGAGTTTCATGCCTCGTTCGTGGAGTTTGTCCTTGAGGACATCAACATCTGAGACATTACCATATGGAGGGTCGATTGTGTAGTAGTCGCTGATATCATACCCCTGAGATTTGTTAGTATACAAATGCAATATTGCTACCTTTGTTAAAGGGGGGGGAAAAGGCGTCAACACACCATATCAACTTGAGGGCTCTTGAAAATTGGTGAAAGCCATACGATATCGACACCCAAGTCTTTGAGGTAATCGACTCGAGAGATAATGCCCTTCAAGTCACCAACACCAGAACCAGTGGAATCTTGATAAGATGCAGGGTACACTTGGTACACCGAGCTCTCTTTCCACCAGGCTCGCAAGCTTTGATCCGTGCTACCCATGATTACTGAGAGTTGGGTTGATGCTGGTTCTGGGCGGCACTACGGTAATATCGTCTGCAGGCTGTTAGTTATATATACATCCACACGGACTCTCAGCACGTGAGAACGGCCGCTCGTGATCAAGCATGAACTCACGATGAACCAATTAAGCCACCTTTCTTCAGAAGTACCGTGCGCTTCACAGGTGTCTCGACAAGCAAACCAGGTATCGTATCCGGGGCAAAGATGATATGCAACAGTGCCAGTTCAGTAACGAGGCTCGAATACGACTAACGTCGAACTGCGGGGTGTTATGTGTTGTCACGCAGCGTCTTATTAAGCTCTACCGTGAGACAGTTGTTACAGTAAGTTGACCAGGAGAACGACATCGGTAGTTGTTATTCTATTTAATAGGCTTCACGGAGTAATTCCCGGAGAGATTCTGCGGATCGATAGTGGTGACTGATCTGCCCCTCTCTCCAGGGTAAATTGTTCGCTGGTGAGTGAGATATTTACAACCAGCATGATACGAGATCTGCAATATCATGTTTTCGACCAAGCTATGATGTGTTCTTACTAGGTCGGTTTGCTTGCACAATGTGATGGTGGAGTTCATGTGTGAGATAGTTTATCGTGAGCTCAGAGGGGTTGATAGATGAAGCTCGAAGGCAGATTGTGATAGATCATGCTGTTGTTCGGAGAGTAGCACAATGCTTAGATATGGAAGAATAGGACTGAAAGACTACATAAACCACACAATTAGACAATTCAAATAAGAGAGAATTATACAACATGATGTTTCATTGTCGCCGACCTAGTTTCGTAGATTACTAGGTAAGTAAGTAGTATTATGGGGAAAAACATGTTCTATTTTCACAGTCATACTAATCTGCCGCTGTTGTATTCCCGTGCAGGAAAAATCAAAGCCACATGTCGTCCAAACTCAAAGTTAATGATACAGCATGTAGAGGCTGAAAGGGCAACGTTGGATCATAGTAGCATCGGCATCCGTGCAGCCCGTCTTAGCAGTTTACTATTGTAGCCATGCATCGGATGCAAAAACAACGCTCGTCTACCGTTGACCCGCAATGAGGAGGTGATATCCTCCAGGAAAACGACAAGGCAATAGTATTTCCTGTACTGTTGCTAAGGAAGCATGGTGATAAAAGAATCGACAGTATGTGCCGAATGAATGAAGGAGATGGATGTGCTATAACATGGACAAGACCTATCAACGTTACAGATCCGGGTACGCGAGTTTTCTCGTTTCACGATGTTACTATAATTAAACTGGAGTTCTCACACCGGACCAATCATCCATACAGAGACGATGAAATCTGTTTGAGCCATGGCGTATACCAACTTATTTCCTACCATAGACTACTTCACTTTAGCCTTCAGGGGTCGATTCGAGTAATGGTAAATTGCTCAGTGCATTCCAATTCCGAAGCCCACAAGATATACAGTGTCAGTAACTTTTCGAGGATAAAACAATCAATCCAACACGCAGGATAGTGATAGTCTCTGTCGCACAGAACTTAACGTTACAATTGAGTCATGAAGGACCACAGGATTGCCACACGTGGAATGTGTCTCAAGGGCAAATACCGATCCCAATAAAGAAACAACAGCTGATTTGCGGTATACGAAAAACTGACAAGACACTCTCACAAACCCCGGTCTAATACTCATTACTGAGGTCTACCAACAAAGGAACCCTCAAAAAGAAATGGGAAAAAGCAAGCAGCGCCTTCAGGACCCTGAATGGGACCGGAGCATGGGTCTCGTTTGTTCTGTACATGGTTAGTATGTCATTTGTTAGCTACTGCAGCCGGGATATTGAGATTCTTTGCGCACACAAAGGATATGATTTGGGCATTGTTTAATTATGGGTTATTTTGCGAGATTGAGAAGGTCCATGATGTGCAGGGCTTGTTTCTCTGCGAAGTCTCATGGCTGAAGGTTGTCTTTGACTTTGTTCAGCAGCATGTATTCAGCAAATTGGGATTTACTGCACCAGAGAGCCGAAGCAAGTTCAGTTCGTGCACTATCAAATTCAATATATAGTGAGCGGCGAGCGTGTGGTACGTGCGATGCCATTTCCGTGTCTCATTCAAGCGTGTACAGGGCATAGATGAGATTGGATGGCGCTACTTGAGGGTACCTGAGATTAAGTATTTCCGTATCCGTACAGTTCTCAGTGTTGATTTGCCCATGCTCTTGGGTTACCCGTCAGGGCGTATGCACATGGAATTAAACAGCAGGCCCTTTGCATTTGCTACGGATCATGGGCAAACCGGAGACACAGCAGCTGCCATTCGCCTGAAATATGCAACGGGAAGGCAAATTAATTAAACCGGAAAAATATCTTCCTGATAAAAGAGAACTGAGTTGGGAAAAGCGACGTTTATTTAGACCTTGTATGAACAACAATCTCGACGACTGTGGAATTTGCTCCACTACAAACAGAGGACTCAGGTACACCTGAATCTTGGATCGGGCGTAACCAGCGAGTACCCTACCTTCCATTACCCTGCCCTGACCTTGCTCAACATACTTGAGGTCGTTAGCTCGCTTTCAAGAGGACAGGGACAGTGGCTTAGTGGACACTGCCCTGGAACTCAAGACACCTCAGAGACAGCTCTGAGCATCACTACTCAACCATGGGTGACGCTAAGAACCAGCCTCTCGTCTTTCATCCCGCCCAGACATAGCGGACAGACCCTGGTCAACCTCACTCTGCCCTGAACGAAGCACCAAATGACCAAAGCAGCCAGCATTGCGGACAGTTAGTTCCCATCTTTGGCGACCGCTGGCTGCATGCTACTGCATGTCCCCAAGGTCTCTTTGCCTGCCCTTGGACTATACAGACACTAATAACAAGTTCCGTACATAGCACTACCTACCTACTACCTACCTAGA